GAATATTAAAAATTTTGTTCAAAAATAATCATGCTTAAAATCGCTTTTTGCATAAAATCGCTTTCTGAATGTTAAAACTTTTGTTTAAAAATAATCATGCATAAAATCGCTTTTTGCATAAAATCGCTTTCTGTATGTTTAAAATTTTGTTTAAAACTAATTATGCATAAAATCGCTTTTTGTTGACTAATGATTAATCTCGTTTATCAGGAGTAGCTCAAATCGCTATATTTTTTGCAGACAATTGTGCTTTAAACATTTGTTTCGTTAAAATACATTGATTTTCAACGGCTTCAGGCTTACAATTGGTTGGAAATTGTTCAAATTGTTTTATTTTGGCCGAAAACGTCGATTATTTTCTAAAAAGACATTGTTTTACCACGATTTCTAGTTTAGAATCGAGCAAAAATTTATTAGAAGTAGCTTTAATCGCTTTATTTTGGCAGAAAATTGCGATCTAAGTATATATTTTCTTAAAATACATTGATTTAGGTAAAAAATCGAGCAAACTTGGATTTGAAATAGCTGAAATACTGCGATTTAAGCATATGTTTTGTAGAAATACATTGATTTAGAATAATTTGAGGTTTAAGATTAATAATTATCGGTCGTATGATAAAAAATCAAATGAATGATACATTAGATAAAAATTTCTGAGTCACTTTACGTTTGACGCAAATGTAGATTTTGGACTCAATGAATTGGCAATTTTTGAAACGGATTTTCACAAAGACGCAAATTTTCTAAAAAATTGCATCACATATATTCTCTCTTGCGGTTTTTATTAGTAAGACCTATATTTTTTTTTAGTTTTTATTGACTAAGATTTTTCTTGTTCCAATTTTGCGCCACTTTTAGGTGATTAATTCCAGAATCGAGGACACCATCTTGCCGGAAAAGGTGGACATAATCGTATCCGAATGGATGGGTTTTTACCTTCTTCACGAAGGCATGTTAGACTCTGTAATTTTCGCCCGAGACAAATTTCTCAAACCTGGGGGCTTAATATTCCCCGAATCAGCAACAATTTATTCAGCCCCATGCCGGTTAGTGCTTTTTTCCCCTTAAAAAATAAAAAAACATAACATTCGTAGCGTCCCCTCTATGTACGACTTCTGGAGCGACGTCGACGGCGTCTCCATGAAAAGTTTCAGCGAAAAACTCCGCTCTGAAGCGTCACACAAACCAAGCACTGTTTCAGTTGCTCCAGAAGACATTCTAGCAGATTCAGAAGTGGTACTTTGGATAGATTTACGCGAAGTGACTCTAGAAGAAATCAGTGGTTGTAAGGTTCAACACGTGGCTGTGGCCACCAAGCCGGGGAAGTACCAAGGGATTTGCCTGTGGTTCACTTGCACTTTTCCGTCTTTTGCCACCGAACCTGTGACTCTTTCCACGTCCCCTGAAGATCCTGAAACCCACTGGAAGCAAACCACAATCGTCCTCCCGACTGAAATCGAAGTCGAGGAAAAATCACCAATTGCCTACGAATTATCCTTGGCTCGAACCACTGAAAATCCTAGAAGGTACAACATTGAGCTGGGCATGCTTGACCCTGCAGAAGTAGACCATCCGGAATATTGCACTTGCCACATGACCAAATGCATTCTAGTTCGGGCAATGTTAGAAAAATACGAAATGGAAAGTCTCCCCAAATAAATGTTTAAAAATTATTTTGTGTGGTATTTTGTTGCGCCTTCGGCACAATGTAATGAAGACATCATCAAGACAGGTGGTTGAGCCCGAGGCGGGCCGGGGCGACTGCTCCTTTAACTCCCCGCTGCTGCTAAATTAACCACTAGAAGATGAGAATCGTGCCGTGCTGAGGAATTTCCAATGCGCTTGTTTTTGATTATGAAACGTCGGAAATTAATGGTAATAATGACGAGTGAAGGACCGGCTGACGGTTGATGGCGGTTTTGACAAGTCATTTGGGCTCTAAAACGTTTTCAGGTGGGTCGGATTGGCGTCATTTTCCTAATCTAGTGCTTGAAATGATAACTGTTTTGATTTACTTCAAAGTTACGTAAAAGTAAAGTGTGAATCGGATTTAGATTAGTGATAAAAATAAAGTAGAATTAACGCCGAGGAAAGAAGAAATTTATTATTCATTTGACTTTTTCCGTCGCAATAACTATAAAATTGGTTTTAAATTGCGAAAACTAATTGAAAATCAATGTATTCAAGTTTTATTGGCGCCGTATCACTTGAAACGATGATTATTTGAAATCTGCATACAATATATTTGATAAAACAACACTATAATTTTGCCTATTATAGGTATTTTGCATCTAATTAGAAAGTTTCGTTGTAAAATCTATATTTCCAGCGTTCGTTTTATTAAAATCATTATCCTCTTATCAATCTAAAATGTTTATTTTCTTCAGTGTCGAATTAGACATTTTTCAAACATTTCTATTTCAATACAAAAAAAATTAAAAATGTAAGCAGGTTCATTAAGTTGTTTCTTGCGTTTTTTACTTTAAAATGTTTAGTTTTTTCAACATTGGATTAGTGATTTGCAAAACAGAAACATTWTGAAAAATTAATAATTTTAATTTAATTTTTCACTAAAAAAGTATCAATTTCAATAAGTTTGAAAGTATTCAGTTTTTTTTTGTAAAATATTTGTAAAGTTTTTCCAGCGTTATATTAGRTATTTCTAAACCTTTAAAATCATCAGAACTAAACATAAATAAATTATGTTTTTTACTTAATTTTTGTGTTTCATTGCAAAGTGATTTGAAAAAAAA